AGAAAATTTACTTAATATGCTTAAGTATTTAATAATAAAATAACAAAAATTTTTATTTTATTTATTTATTTATTTTTAAATAGTCAAATTCCTGATTTACAAGGTCGTCGATTTAATATTGAATATGCTGCAGGTGGTGCACCTCAAGGTTATCCAATTCCAGTTCATTTAGCTTCTGCTGCTACTTCTTATCCTGAACCAGTTTATACTGATAGATTACCAAATGATATTCTTCAACATATAAGAAGTAGTAATAATACGGCTCTAACAGCTGCATTAGAAGCAACTATTCAACGAGATCAATATATACAATCATCAGGTTTATCTCAACCAGCTCCTTCAACAGTATATTATCAACCAACAACTGTTATGCAATATCCAGCACAACCTAATCAACAGGTTCAACAATCTCGACCATTATCATCAAAAGCTTCTAATACAAATACTGAACGATCGTCATCTCGTTCATCATATTCATCATCAAGTGAAGAAACTGATTGTGAAGAACTTCAAAATATTTCATCAGTAAGAGTAATATTCATTTTATTTTATATCTATATCTATCTATATATTTATTTAGCCAATGAATTCTATTCCAACAGTTGGACCATATTCAGCAAATTCATTTACTCAAACACAATATCGCAATAATTAAACATAAAATCTATTCGTTAATCTCATTGTAGGATTAGTTATTCTTTTTTCTCTCTTACTTTAATTAATCATTCATCTTACATAAAAACAATAGACGAGTATTTGACATTGAACTTGATAATTAAATATTCATTAGTTTTTTTTTTTCTCTCTCTTTTTATATATTGTTCTTTTGCTTCTATTATTAAAACAAGACTTATCGAACAGTTTTCATAGCTAAATAATTATCTCTATATTAATATTATAATAGATATTTATTATTTACTTAATTATATTTAAAAACAATATTAACATATATTTTATTTAAACAAGTCTCGAAAAAAAAACACACATCTTCTTCATGTATAAACGTTACAAATAAGACGTCAATACGAAATGTAAGATTACATTTGATTATAGAACATTAATCATCATAATATATTTTAATAAATAAAATAATATTTAAAGACGAAATCAAGGTCATATTATAAAGTAATCAGTCCAATTCGATGCATATCTAAATTATTCTCTAAAAAACAAATTATTTTCGTTCATATACAATTATATATCAAGATAAAAACGTTCATTGGAAATAATTCGAATATATTCATTTTTATTTAGACAAATGAGACTAAGAAGCTCATTAAGAATCACGTCATCAGCTGAGAAAATCTAAAAATATCATTATTTATTAGTAAGAAAGGACAATTAAACGGCTAATCAACACTATCTAGCAGTTTATTTATATAAAAAAAAGTCCTATTTTTCAGAGAATCACGTCGAATTTTCAATGCAAAACTTTTTCTTGATTGTGATTTTCCTATAAAATAAAGTGTCCTGTGCTTTTCAGAGTTATAAATAATATTACAACCTGTTAAATAAAACAATACTTGGACAAAAACACGATCATACCAGTTCATCTGCTATTAGAAATTGTTAAAAATCGAACTATGAAATGTAAAAGTTAGAAGTGAACTTCCTCAAAAAATTCTCTCACTCAAAATATTAGAAGGTTTTCTTTTGCAAAAATGTTTACGTATTTATGTTGACAATATCATTGGAGAGCTTCAACTTGAGATGATGTGATCAAAGATAGAGTCTAACAATAATAATAAGGATATTGAAGATCCGATATCATAATCAATTCAACCGATAAGAAGATTTTCGAGCAGCTTCTACATATTTTTTTGAACATACTGATCTCCTTGCAATATAATTAATATATGTATTTTCAATTAATAAAAATACATTCAAGGAAAAGGAAGATGATTGATTCAATCACAATATTAAATTTAATAGTATATAATAGAAGTAAATGTGTAAATAAAAACAAACTTTATTACATATCTTACAAAAATGTTTTTTTTTTAAATAATTTTACCTTTAATACGACTTGATTAATAACATTGATAATGATATTTAAAGATAATATCGATCAACACGGATGATCGACACTCACATCTAAAATAAGAACATTAAAATAAAGATGGCATCGTCAACAAAAAAAAAACACTCGACTTATTTATTTATACTTGTTTTTCTAAAGAATCATTGAAACTTTCCAACGATTTTTATATTTATTATTGTCACTGTTTCCGATTTACGGTCAACATTTTTCTTTCTAATAAAGTAGTCCGACTACAAAAAAAAAATATTTCCATAAAAAAGAAAAAAGAAGTACTTGTTTCAATTATATTTTCTTTTATTTGCATGTTAAAATTCTATAAAAATCACAATAGGTAATGGTAACGGTTTAATAAATGAAACATAAGATAAAGTCGAATGAGGACTTTATTTCGTTGGTGATATAATAAGAGGTGATGTTTATTTTAACATAAATGAACGAACAAAACAAATCAATGAAATTTATTTGTTATTAACTGATAATATTAGTTATTGTTTAGAACGTATTCGTTTTATCTATTCCTCAATTAACTATTCCATTGGCTATTTCCTCATCATTTAATTATAAAAGTCAAATTTGTCGAACAATTGTACTTGTTGATTTACATTATGATTTATAATTAGATATAAAATTCAAAGGATTTTTTTTACAGATTTTAATCTTTGAGTTCCTGTTATTATTGGAACTGATCTAGTTGAACATATAAATAATAATAAGCATCGTCTTTTACTAAAATGAATTTGATTGAACTTGATTTTACAAATGATGATGATATTCCTCTATGACAATATCAATCGTTTTATAATTTAATTAAACAATGCTTTTTCTTATTTTTGAGCTAGTTATCATCCATATTGACATTTGATGTTATTTTCGATGTTTGTTTAACTAATCAATTTTTACATCTCATTTCAACTAAATGATTTTCAAAGACTTTAAAAGAGCTTAAGATCTGTACAATTCATTATGTTTAGTTAAATAATAATAATTATTTTTAGTTTCAATGTAAACTTATACTGATTTTCAATATTTTCGATTTTCATGTTATTTAAAAGAAATTTTAAGTTTTCAGAAAATATTGAAAAACTAGTTTCGAAAGAGAAGAAATTTTTCTATTGACTGATTCTATTAGAAATCAAAACATAATGATATATGATTGATGACTGAGAATCTTTTTTCTTTATTAGTGAAAACTGTTCGTCTCGAGAAGATTCTTATCATAAATTATTCAAAAAACATTCGAATACATGATTTTGAAAGGTCACTCTCTACTGCTTCTTAAGTGCAATAACCAATTTATTTTATATGATTTAAGTAAACAATAATGCTCGACATTGGTCTCATAAGTTCTTAGTTTTTTTTACTTTCTGTTCATGGATTTCTACATTATAAAGAGTGATCATCGACAAGATCTAGCTATATTTTCCACTAGAAAAGAAGAGAAAAAGCTACGAGAATGGTAAAATTATCAGCGAATAAGGTTCATTAAAATATAATTGATAGCTCGCTACGTCAGTATAAACACTGTTTCAATTGGCGTTAAATCGCAAAATCAAGAAGACCAAAAACTATTCATACAAAACAACTCATCAATTGAGTGGGAAAAGGCTTGAAAAATAACAGTCGAACCATTCAAGCTAGTGCTCCTGTTCGAAGATATAAATATGTGAACAAAATTTACTTTTACACATGAGAAAATTTCAAATATTCTATGTCTTAGAATATGAGATAATAGAAAAGTTACAACTTGTCTGATGCATTGAGCTTAGTGAGAGCTTTCTTCATAAAAAGCTTGAATTTGAAACCCTCACATGATTTGAGAGAGCACAGCTCTTTGTTGAAAAACCCAGTAAAATTTCGATATTTCAAGAGCGAAGGCCCGGAAAACTAAACTATTCTAGATTTTTTTTGTATTACTCATTAGTAATCATCAAATAAACATCGTCTCGATCGACAAGAAAATTCGATATCTGAAAATGTTTCCTTGTAAGCTATCGAATTATTAGTATGTCTATTTTCTTGAGACCCCAGGTTTTTGGTAAAATCGTCTTTTCTAATTTTGATCTGAAACTTTGCACATATACAGAACTCAACTAGATTAGTTTCAATAAAAAAAGAATTCACAAGTTTTGAACAAATATTCTCTTCAAAATATGAAACATTCAAGATATAGACCTATTTCAATCGGTAGTGTATACAATATTCACTTTTTGAAATCTAATTTAGTTGAGTTCTCTATATGTGAAAAATTCAATAGCTTACAAGAGAACATCCTCAAATGGTTAAAAGCTTTTAAATCCATACTATAATCAGTTGTAGTGGAACGATAGAGTAGAATATCCTCCAAAGGGTTCATACTGATGTTAAGATTTGGTTGAGATATTGATTTTCTAGTGAATTCTTTCCTGTATGGACCCAATTTTTCGATAAAGTCCTATTGTCGAGCGTCAGTCGAAAAACTTTATCTAGATGAAGATCATTAGTGAAATTAGCTTATGCGCACAATTTCAGAAGTTTTCGATCGAGTGTCTCTGAGATATGCGTTTCTGTTTTTAGAACTTCAGCGGTTTTTCATTAATACCATTTTCAAAATTTGTATATGTCAGAGATAATCGATCGAAAACTTCTGAAATTGTATGCGTAAGTTAGTCTCATTAATAATATTCATCTAGGCAAAGTTTTCTGACTGAAGCTCGACAATAGGATCTTATCGAAAAATTGGGTTGATACAGAGTATATTCCTTACTACTGGGCAAAATAAAGGCTTGACAGCTTTTAATCATCTCAAGATCTTTTCTAGTTAGTCAAAACTCAAATCCTTGTCAGATGTTTATTAGAACATTATATAATGTCTGTAGACCAAAAAACAAAATCATTGAAACTGGATGAAGACATTTTGAGTAGATCTGTTCGGTAGAAATCGAAAATGTATTTCGTCAACTTACTTTTCTTTGCGCTTCAACTAAATTAAACCAAAATTAGAAATATCAATTAATAATAAACCAATAACTAATGTAATGATAACAATTTTTAATAGATGTGTATGGAATAGTCCATTTACAGTAGGTATATCACAATAGACAACTTCAGAACTTTAAAAACAAATTTTTTGTAAAATATACTTTTCATATTTATTCAATTTATTTGAAAAACAAGGATAATCACTTAATCGATGACCAGCATTTTCATCAACATGACAAACACATTTATCATGTATACAAGGG